TCGAGAATTTCCTATCCTTGGTCTGATTGAACATATCCGGGTTACACTGCAAAGGTGGTTCTACGAAAGAAATCTTAATTCTAAAAAATGCAGTAGTATACTTACGCCACCTTTTGAGGAGAAGATGCGCAACAGTTACAACGAGTCCAATGGACTAGAAGTGGTCAATGTATCCCCGATGATTTTGCAAGTTGGTGGAAGACATATAGTTGATCTGGAGGAAAGATTATGCACTTGCCGGAGGTTTCAAGTAGATATGTTTCCATGTGCACATGCCATTGCCGCAATAAGATTTGAGAATGGCAACGGCTACACATTCTGCACTGGAATGTATTCAAGCGCTTATTGGAGAGAGGCATACTCTGAACCCATTCACCCATTGCCTAGTGAGACCGATTGGATGGTTCCGGAACAAATTATGTCAAGAACTGTGTTGCCGCCACTATCACGACGTCCAAGGGGCAGACCTACATTCGAACGAAAAAAATCAGCAGGTGAGGCTCGAAAAAAATCAACTTCTAAACCTCGCCAAATGCGTAAATGTAGCAAGTGTTCAAAAACTGGCCATAATCGTGGAAAGTGTGAGGAGATTAACCTCAATCAAGCGACTTGACTCGGCCACATGGTGTTTTGACTTTCGGTATAGTGTTTTGACTCGATCACATGGTGTTTTGACTTTCGGTATAGTGTTTTGACTCGGTCACATGGTATTTTGACTTTTGGTATAATGTTTTGACTCGGGCATATGGGGTCTTGACTTTTTGGTATAGTGTTTTGACTTTTGTATTGTTTCTTTATGTAGTTTCCAATGTAATGAAACAAGTTGTTAAATATTGAAATTATGTTTTGAGCGATTTATTGTCCAATTCATAAAATTGAGTTGGTAAATTGAAGTTTGAATGTATTATATAAGGTTTGAGCAGGTGTATTTAATCGGCCGAGATCAAAATAACCGTACATTTGTGATGATTTTCAACATAATGAGTATACATTCGTTACTTTATATAAAATAACGAATCCACAGTCGTTACTTTACACCGTCATAATGTCGCGGTCGCGGGAGGATATCGCGGGGCGCGACACTGGGGCTGTTAGGTGGGACAGACAACTTTGGCAGTATGTCGCGGCCGCGACGCCAGTCGCCCTAGCGACATGGGCCAATGTCGCTGTGGCGACTCGCGTCGCTAGCGTGACGTTTTTGCAAACTTTCTGTTCCAACATAAGAACGCCCAGTGTCACGGCCGTGACATATGCCGCGCCAGCGACAATATGATTTTGTTATATAACGACAGTAGAGTCGTTATCGCGTAGTAAAACACGAATGTACATTCGTGTTTTTACACTCAAATAATGTCGCGGTCGCGATACATGTCGCTGCAGCGACATGCGCGATTGTCGCGCTGGCGACGATTGTCGTGGCCGCGACCCCCGAGACAAGCATTTTGTCCGACTTAGAACAGCACAGTGTCGCGACCTCGACGTCGGACGCGTCCGCGACATGTTGACCATGTAATATAACGATTATAGAGTCGTTATATCATACAAAATAACGAATGTACATTCGTTAGTTAATAAATTATAAATAAAATACTCTCGTTATTGTTTATTTTCATCCCGATCGATTAAAATACACATATACATTCGTTATAAATGACGTTAGGAATTCATTTCTTGTTATATTATAAACAATTTAGTTACAATACAATGGTTTCTATATTTTAAATATTTTTTATTATATAACAAATATATTTACAAAATAGTTATTTAATTTTATTATAATAATAATAGTACTAATTTGACTAATTGGATTAATTTGACTTCAATAGTACTAATTTGACTAATTGGATTAATTTGACTTCAATTTTATTTACAAAATAGTTTTGAACTAATTGGACTTTAATTAGATTAATTTGACTTCAATTGTACTAATTTGACTTTTTCGACTTTAATTAAACTAATTCGAGTTCGATTACATTATAATTGACCGACATTGAACTAATATGAATTTAATTAGACTAATTCGAGTTCGATTACATTATAATTGACTTCAATTGTACTAATTTGACTTCAATTAGATTAATTTGACTTCAATTGTACTAATTCGAGTCTGATTACATTATAATTGACTTCAATTGTACTAATTTGAATTTAATTAGACTAATTCGAGTTCGATTAC